ATTTCTGGTCCCTGTTTCAAGTAAAATGAATATTTTTGGTCACGTAGTCTAGTTCATTTTTGAAAATTTGATTCTTATACGAGATTTTTGATCCCAAATTCTAGTTCGTACTTATTTGAGGTTTTTGTAGTATTTTTGGTCCCTGTTTCAACTAAAAATGAATATTTTTGGTCCTTGAGTCTAGTTGATTTTTGCAATTTTTGTCCCAAAAAGTTCACTTGCAATTTTGAACTTTTTTTTTTCCTGAGTTTTTTGTGGCATTTATAGCCCTGTTTAAAGTAAAACGAATATTTGTCTAGTTGATTTTTATGGAATTTTGCCTTGATTCTTTTTTGAGATTTTTGTAGCAATTTGGTCTATGTCCCAAGTAAAACAGTTATTTTTGGTCCCTGAGTCTAGTTTTTTTTTTGGTTGTAATTTTGGTCACTTTACTTAAAACATGACCAAAAAGATTCCAAAATAAGGACCAAAATTGAAAAAACCCAGCTAAACTCAAGGACCAAAAATGCAATTTACTGTAAAAAGTACATTGCTATTTAACGACTAAGCTTTACTCCAAAATCTATCTATTCTAATAACAGGAATGTTGCATTTGTCTCTCTGCTTATGATGATGGAACCGATATTCGTGAGCTCCCATGTTGTCACCATTTTCATGCACTTTGCATCGACAAATGGCTTTACATTAATGCAACATGTCCGCTATGCAAATTCAACATATTAAAAAATGCTACTCAAGGAAATGATGTATGATAAATTTATCCTAACGTATAATAATTATGAGATTATTGTGTATTGTTGTTGAGGTTGAGAGATTAGTTTTTGATTTTATGTGTAAAAAAAAGGCGCCAGATGTAAAGTTGTAGAGTTTCTATGATTTGTATTTTGTAGCCTATGTAAATTGCTTGTGAAGTTGTGTTTGTATCCAAGTCTACTTTGTGCATAGTTGGTTGTATGTTCTTATGGTTATGTAAGAAATAGAAATGTATTTTTGTTTGTTTGTTTCATATATCATATTACTTTTCTTTCTTCATGTTGTGCAATTGTACTTTGGAAAAACTATTTGTTTATAGGAAGGTTAAATGCAAGAAGTAGCAATATACTTTCATTTTCTTTGTGTTACAAGTTACAATATTGTAGTTTGAAAATCTAAGCGGATTATAGCATATGTCATATGAATACAAATCAATTGTTATTGAAGTAAATGGAAAAAATTTACAAAATACAAATAAATGGATAAAATTTACAAAATACAGTGCCTTAAAAAGAAATAGTAAATTAAAAGTAGAGTAAATTACATAAGTGGTCGGTCCCTGTGGTTGTATGGTTGCATTGGCAGTTAACTTTTTCCTAGTTTTGATTTTGTTGTGGTTTTAGTCTTTGGTCCATGTGAAATGACTATTATATCCTTTCTAATTTCTTTTTTATTCGGTTAACAATTTTTAATTAAGAAAAAGAACAATGTTAGAAAGATATGAAAGTAAGATAAAACAAACAAACAAACAAACAAACAAAAGTATGTTGCTAGTTTATTGCATTCAGCCTTCAGCCTGCTAGTTTATTGCATTCAGGCTACATTTGAACATTTTTTTTGAAGGGGAGTCTTAATAAGAAAAAAAAATCTGAAAGTACAATGCTATATTTTGGTATGTTTTTCAAGACACAATGCTCTAATAAGATTTTTTTGAAAGTATAGTATCGTAATTGAAATAAATGAAAGTAAGATACGATAATAAACAAATAAATGAAAGTAGGTTGTTGTATATTGTATTTAACAGTTTCTTTTACTTCTGCATATGACAAAAAAATGTAACGAATAAAAAATATATTGATGGTTGCTATAAATCCACTGATAAGTATCACCACATTTAATATCTATTTTGAATAGGAACACCAATCGCCACCCCATGAGTTAGATTTTGACCCATGGTGGCCCCGTAATTCCACCCATTTGTCTTTAAGGAGTAAGTCGTTGGAATACTGCTAATACTGTTATTAGCAGTATTACCCGACGACTTAACCTTAACAGATAAATTAATTATCCCATTTCTTTCGCCATATCTGTCTCTCAACCTATAACTCAAAAAATGCAAATAATCACTCGGTAAATATCCATTACTAAAATCTGACACCGGAACCCTAGCCGACCCAACAACACGATCACCTGAAAAGTTGTTGCAATGAACTTCTAACGTGAAAAATTTCGCATGCATGGACATTTCTGTCAAGAACTTCTGATTCCATGAAGGATAAGACCCGTTTTCGGTATCCATGGTGGTGGTCTGACTGTTGTTCGAGTCTGTTTTGATGATGACAAACACATTTTTCTTCACCGGACGTGTTTTGGTAAGTGAAAGGGATTCGGCGGATATGATTGTGAGTTCGAGAACCAATGAATTGTTCTTTGGCTTTTCCATTGTGTGTTTTGAAAGATACGAGGGGTGGGAAGTGTATATATATGATAAGTGGAGGAAGTTTGGTGGCAAATGGAAAGAAAGAGAGAGGATCTTTCCAGTCACACTCGTGGAAAAAGAGCTTCGTCAACTAATTTTGTTTTTGTCAAGAAAGAAGGGTTGATCACAAATTAATCGGTCGTTTCGCAATATCTTTTTTTTTTCGCAGCAATTAAAGAAAAGAAAAAAAAAAAGACTGCAATTTTTTTTACCCATTCATAAAACAACTCCATATATATTTTCGAGAAATTCTTTTGACGAAATTATTGGTTATATTATGATAAATATTAAAATGTTTATCTCTTTTGTGATATGACCCTACCTTTTAGGTTGTTTTAGTGACTAACCTTATCAAAAGGGTTACAATAATTTTATCAATCCAAACAATAAGTTTTTCTAATCATTTGGTATAATCTATTTCCATGTTTAATAACTGTATATAACATTTACACAAAACGGCCAAAAACAAAAGAGAAAAAAACTAATAATAAGATTGTTAAGTTAAAAGATTATGATATACACAACTTGAACAAGATGATAAATTTCAATAGAATTAGCTACATCGAATATAATGGTTAAGTTTTCCATATCACCAATGTACCATGTTTGCTCATTATCTTGCCTACTGCGTAGGCAATAACCATGTTGTTTCAATATATGACAACAACTAGAAACATGGTGCGCAAGTACTCCTTTAAGTGGGCGCCATTTATTACAATCAATGGTTGCATGTATCTAATATAACTATGAATATGCAAAAGTTTGGTTTTAAATTTACAAGACTTAATATGAAAATAACCACTCCAGTGTTCTAAAGAAAAATAAATCTTACCAATAGAGGCGAAGAAGAACTATAGCCGTCGTCCATCTTAATGTGAGTCACGTGGATTAGATTCTCCTTTTTAGATTGTGACAATATTAATGAAGTCTAAAAAATAACTTCTAGTGCCCCTCAAAAGTTTTAGCTCATCACATTTTATCCACCAAGCTTAGGGTATGACTTGACAATTTTGAATGAAATATTTAAGTCTCCAACGATTTCCTTGACACAATTTACTTGCGATCGACTATTATCTTCACCCACCATTTTTGTTGTTTGCTTGAGGATGATGATGTAATTTGCTTTTTTTAAACAAGTTTGTTCGTACCATTGTTGTAAAAATGGGTATCGGTGGCCGACTAGTCACTGAGTATGATTAGTGGTAATTGGTCATATTGATCGGACATGGTCAAAATTGGTCAAGGCGGTAAAATAGGCCAAAAGTAAAAAAAATCAAAATTATTGATACATCTATTACTATGGCATTTGGCCTAAAAATGAGGAAATACCGCGTAGAAATCCAAATCATCATACACATATAGTCAAATATAGTGATATATTTGTTGGAAAATTTAGTATAAATATTTATATTTTTACTAACTTTGGAAATATATAAATATATACATATGTTGTATATATAACTAACACTAAGTGAGTTTGTGTTCTCCTCCACGAGGACTTCGAAACAATATATTATATGTCCAAAATGGAGTATATGTGAATGAGATATCGATACTCAAAGAAGGGTATGTGAGAATAAGTTTAGCAAAAAGGGATGAATGTGGGAATGAGTCCCACATCGGTAGAAAGACCAAACTCAACAAGGTTTATAAGCTTGAATGCATGAAAGACTTACAAGCTTATGTCTATGGTTTTACTACAATTCCTACCCGCGCGCAGGGTGGGTGCAAATCTTGGATTTCGTAGACCAAAAACACCAAACTTGTGCATGGGCGCGACCTGCGGACACGAGTACAGCTCCGAAAAACTCGGGCACGCGCTACCCGATTCAACTATAAAAGGATACCTTTACCATCTCATTCTACACACGAATAAATATACTCTTCTTTCTCCTCCTGCTTCCGGCGACCTTTCAGGCAAGACCCTGGGAACAGACAGGGAATCGAGTCCAACTCGAGCCTCAGCCACCACGTTTTGCTACTAACCTTTTCTTTACAGGAAACTTTCAAGAGGCAAATGAAGTCCTTACACTAACAAGATTGAATATGTACTGTCTATGTAGCATTTCGTTTTTCTTAAAGAATTGAAATTATCAAATTACGTTTTGATTTGGGTAAAACATATATTAATAAATTTCTTTAGAAGTTAGGGTCCTCACCTAGGTTGACTAGTCCATAGTCCACAATCACGACAATCGACCGATTAAATATCATATATCAACTTTTACAACCTTTGTCCGTACTAATATTTGGAGTTTGGGTAGCTTTGACTCTCTATTGATAGTTTTTGGAGCGAAATACATCAAATCTGTATTTTACAAATTTTGTGATTTTATTCTCAAAACACTCTTCAAAAACATTTCAATCCCAATGCTAGTTTAAGATCTTTTCTTTTTAACATTTGTAGGTTTTCGACATGTGAAGTTGGGTTGGTATTAGGGAGACATACCCTAAATGAACTTATTCTTCCTCCACCTTCTTCACCCTCAAAATTTTTTAATGTTAGATATAAACTCATAATTTTCCTCGGTTTCCACTATGGATCTGGATCTGAACAATCAAGAAGCATAAATATATCTGGCTAATCAGATCTTGATCATCAACCTTATATGTAACCTCATCATTACTAACTTTTTTTTTAAAATATATATAGAGAAACATATTCAAAACCACCTAGTTATGGTGTTTTGAACGAAATATCCCGACTAATCATATTAGAAAAGGAAGTTACATATTTAATTGTTGTTGGTCCCAAATTATTCAATCACACGATATAATAGCATACAATATACTTTAAAATTAAACTTTATTGACTAAGAACAACTTCTTAAACACAAAGATAATATGTTGAGATACACCTCATGCATAAACAAACTCTCTCTATAAAGCTCACACAAAACTCAAAACTCTCATATATCACATAGAAGGAGATATTGAGTCAAACCGAAAACTCAACCCACAAGATAAACATGGTAAGTGTATATCTTTATTTATTAATAAAATCGGTCCATCAACAATTTTATATAATTGCCATAATAATATAAAATTAATGATAACATTATTTATATACATTTATTAGTGATCCCAAAATATCCAACACATGATTCTAATTGTATTTTAAAGTATAAAAGATATAAACATCATTAAATCATTGGGTTTGAACCTAATAATTGTCCAACACCTTTTCGGTTTCTAGCCGATCAATTTCCCATAGTCTAATCGATCTACATAGGCCCTCTACAACATCATCAAAATCACTATCATCAACCAACTCAATAATATTATTCATTCTAGGATATTGAAAATATAAACATATGATTATCAACTAAATGTATCTTACTCGCCGCCAAATTAATAACACAAAAAAGTTTATATCCGAAGGTAAATCCATATCACAAATGCATCAGTTTTAGCGTTATATACTGCATAACAACCTTAATCCTCTCCTACAACCATCAAATAGAAAGAAGTACTCTAAATTCTTCATTGAATGAATTCATATTGAAGAAAAAATGTGTTGGGTACTCAGAACTTTTGAAAATCTTAATTTGTTTACAAAAATGCTAAATATATGACAAAAATCTAAGATTTTGCAGATAAAACGAATTTCATAACGAGGGTTGTGAACTCTTTTTCTCACTAAATTAAAAAAATAATTAGATTTGTTTGAAGCCGTTAATCACAAATGTAGAAAATTTTGCTATACACCAAATTTGTAGAAAATTGTTAAATGTCACAAATGTATGGAAAAATAGTTATATATTAGATTACTAAATCTGTAGCATTCGGGATTTTCTAGGTATTATTATTGATCATCTTAATTGAAGTGTGGAATGTTTTGGTTTGAGATTTGACCTTTGGGCTTTATTAGTGGGTTGAGGAAGCTTCGTACGCGGGGTGTACATTGACATGTACGCCCAGCGTACGTGTGCAGTTCCTTAAACCCTAAAATTTAGGGTTTACTCCCTATATAAAGAACATAAACCCGGTTGATTCAGCCTCCCTTCACCCATATCCAGCCACCACGAAAACCCTAGCTCTCTTTTGTGTGCCTTTGTGTTCTAGAAGCCATTTGAGAGCATTTGTGTGTTGTGTTAGTGAGAAGGGAAGAAAGAAGCTTGAAGAAGAAGCAAGGATCCACCAAGAGCTTGTAGATCCAGTGGTTTGACATCATTTCTGACTCTTTTGAGGTATCAAGTTCCATACTTGGCCATTGTATGCTTAGATTTGTTTTTGGGGGTGTTTAAGGTCACTTTTGGACCTTATTGGTGATGCTTCTTCAATATTTGCATCTTTGCGATTTCATAACGAAAAGAAATAAGAGTCCTACAAGAATATAACAAATAACAAATATCTCTCAGCACACACCCTTCCCCCCTTAAGAGTCCTACCACCTAACTGAGCCAGTCTACACTGTGAGTCTGAACACCAGCCTATGTATTCAGTTCACTCACAACATGGCTCTGATACCAACTTGTAACATCGTGATTTTTCATCCAAAATTTTTCTATTTTTAAAACACTTAT